GTCCAGCAGGTTGTATTATCTATTTAATATTTCAATTGCTAAATAAATATTTATTTATATCGTTGTTAACCTAAAGTGTTATACAGGGTGTTCAGTAAGTCAGGAAACGGGTTTCTATTGTTCTCAATGTTACAAACAATGAGAACAATAGAAACCCGTTTCCTGACTTACTGAACACCCTGTATAACACTTTAGGTTAACAACGATATAAATAAATATTTATTTAGCAATTGAAATATTAAATAGATAATACAACCTGCTGGACACCTAGAGATGATATAATCCAACAGGGAGCTGACGGCGACACACACGCACAATATAATATACGGGGTAGCAAGTTAAGTTAATTATCAGACAAAGTAGTGATTGCGAATATGGTAAAAGGTCAACTGTTGATAGGGATATCTTATTATGGCACATTGGCCGTGAATTGCAAAAAGTGTTTATGTGTGCAGTCCGCCCTCCTGTTAGTATTGTTGTATGTCACTGTGTTAATTATATATATATTTTGTATATATGTCTATTAAACGGTACAACGATGTTATGGGAGACAGAGATATGGGCACATGCAAATGTGATCGTATCACATATAAAGCTCAAAAAGTATTGATTTTACTATAATAATTTTTTCTTATGCTTCTACAGCTTATTACGGGCCATTGTAACCTTGAATGAAGGGGAAATTTTCACATTTTTTTGTATTCCGTTCAGGAGGTTAATCCGTCGCTTTACAGAGGAATATTGACTCATGACTGTGTATGCAAAGAAAAAAATAAGATGTTGAAGACTTAAACCAATTCAAGATTTATCAAAATATGAGTTAACTTATATTGTTTTATACCGCTGGAAACATTAAAATGATTTTATTATAATGTGTACCAAATTCTTTTTGCCAAAATTAAAATCATAATCAAGCACATTACTCTCATTAACTATAATAACAATAGTTATTTTATAAATTATACACCACATCAGAATAAAACATAAATTTAAAATACATTAAGTAATTTTATATTTTTAGAAAATATAATTTTATATTATATTTATTTTAATATATATTAACATCGATGCAAAACTGAGAAGGTAATCTTATCATGATGTGCATTTTTTATGTCTATTCAGCTTATTAAAGGCTATTGCGGCCCTTAATGAAAGTTTCTTGACCTTTTTATAATCCAGGCGGGGGTTTATTCACAGCTAGACAAAAGAGTGGCAATTCTAATTACTGAACTGATCTCTCGTTCAGTAAAGTGAATGACCGTGACCGAGTCTAGATCCCGAACAGTGCGCGTCACGATAAAAATAACATTATTAAATCGGCCATATTATCCCTCGTTTAGTTAGATAAGTTTATCATAATTAAAAAATTCAATTTGGGGAACAGAAAAAGAGAACATGCCTATTTTGCTATAATTTTAAGACAATTTATCGGACATATCGGTTTACTATACTACTATTATATATTATTCTATCAAAAGTAAATTTGAAAGTGTCAGGTTTTTGCAGAAAATCCTTTGTAATACTTGAAACTATAACTTAAATCACATAGACCTCTTTATGTACACTATAGTTACGTATACCTTGAGTTTTGAAACGATAATACTTGACATTAAATCTAAACGTACCACAGCATTATATCTTAGTTATAGGATGGAGATTAAAATTCAAAACACAGGTGTCACATTACTCAAAGGGTAGAATCTAAGCGCCAATCAACTTTTCTTGGTATGACATTTAATTTCGCATTCTTCACTTGGCACAATGACTATTGTGTTTACTTTTACTAAAGTTTTAGCTTTAAGCTTGTTTTTCGTGTTGAAAATTAGATTACTTTTGTATTAGGTACCAACAAGAAATATTGCCCAACATGGTTCACATTTATTGTTGCCAATGGGTAATAATAATATCATTTATTATCTAAATTACAGTATCGTATAATATTATGTACTTTTCTTGGAAGCTAGAGAATACTAAATTGTAATAGCTGTCGTTGGTTGAACATTAGACGCCGTCGTTAAGAATCTAATAAGTTAAATCCACTAAAGTGACATTGTCACTGAATATTTCTCTAGAGAGTGATTGCTCAGTTAATAATAAAAATAACAAATGCTTGTAAATATTTTTATTGACAAAAGAGCAGTCCAATAAAATGTTTACCTAGGGCACTAAAAATGATACATTTTGGTCAAAACAAATCCTTAGGAGTAATTAAAAGATAGATTCACCCCTTATTTTAAGTATAAGAAAAAAACATGATATCAAAAACAAATGAAGGAGACGGATACAAATTCAATTCTAGTCTAAAACAAAATTGATTCAATTAATTATGCACTAAATACATTAAATGTCGCAAAAAATAATTCGAAATGAATAATTTTGGTAATGGATCAACTTGGCCTAGGCTTGGGGCAAAATAATTTTTTTTATCAGAACAAGTTGAAATGTCTTAGTTTAATTCAGGTAATTTCTAAATAATATATTATATGAAGGGTAATTACACAAAAAGGACGACAATTTTCAAATTTTACATTGGTCTTACACATTTTAAACGGTTCATTTATACTTTAAACAGATTTTTTTTAAACATATTTTTTACAACCCTGATTATATGTATAAGTGTTTCCAATTAAATAGAGTCTGTTTCCTTAAGAACTTTTTGATGTATTATACAATTTTTAATTGATCTACCAAGGAATTAAAAAAATAAATAAATAAATTGGAGAGTAACAATATTTAAATAGGGAAATCGACTTAATGACCCCCATAGGTATGCTCCAGGATATTTCTGTCTATTTTTTTCAAACTCAAGTTCTAACTTATGTCGTAAAACAACAATATTACATTGCTTTTACAAAGAAGGCGTAAGTGCGATTTAAAACTAAAATATGTGTTAATCAAAATTACTTTAAAAAATTTGTCATTATATTTAAAAATATTTCCATAAAAAGTTCACAAACACTACTATAATCCAAGATAATCATCTTACCCCAATTGTTAACTTGCCCCGCTCTCTCCTAAACTTTTCCATATATGTAGCTTCAATAAAATATATAATTTATAAACTGAACAATTATAAAACTTTTTATAAATAATTTTATATTTAAATTTTTAATAATACAAAATTTAAGATAAAAAATAAATATCAAAATCTCTTATATTACCATTATGTAGTAAAAATTTTGAATATTAAAAAATTTAAAACAAACCAGCACAGTGAGGTCGTGGCACAGTGGGGACGTGGTATAGTTAGTTCCAATATAGATGATATATAACAGTGATTAAAATTACTAAGAAACGCTTCGATGCAAATCTGTAGATAGTGTTTAATTTTAAGAAATTGGTGGATTTTTCAAAAGCAAAATTCTAACTCAAAAAGAATTAAGGGAAAATCATTGCCACAGGCAAAATTGCATGTTTTTAACATTTTCAAAACTTAAGTTGAAAAAGTGCAGAAGTTGCAACTTTGAATTCCCCCTGTAGGCAGGTAAAGGGTCAGATTTTCAAAAAATTTATATCAAATGAAAGGAAAATATCTAAGGTTTCAATTTAAAAAATAATTATTTCGATTTCAATAGGTTATAACAATTTAAAAAAAAATTTTTAAAATGTCGAAATTTACAGATTCTAAATACGTAATTTTTTGCAGGATTTTCACTATTTACGGGGAACGAGGTCAAATTTTTCAATTTTTGAGGGTACTGTTTTCGATTAAATAATATTTGTGATATTTTGACGTATCGTTGAAAGAAATCGGTTCGGTGAGAGCTGAGAAAAAGTGGTAATAGACACAAAAATAAAATTAACACATTATAGGAAAATTAATATTTCCTCTGCTTCGCATCGAAGCTAAAAGTAATTAATGTTTTTAAACAATTTATTATTATTTTACGTTCATCGAAAATGATAATACCTTAGAGGATAATATATTGTGCCTATTCATTTTATTTTATACTTTATTTAAACATTTAATCTACTTTGCACTTTTTAATAAGATTATATTACGACATTATAGTTTACATTAAATTTGCGCATACTAAGTAAGTAAATATTAAATAAATTAATTGCAAAAAAAAATGTTCAGGATGTAAGACTTTATATACGTAATGTATATTTGGTCGAGGAAAACGATGCAAATCACTTACTTTAATTAATATATTTATAAAAATGTTTTCCACATATTAAAAAGCTTTAAGACTATTTCTTTTGTCCTATAAAACGTTTACTTGCACAGAGTTAAATCTAATATAAAAACTAGTGAATTCCGTTTTATTTGCAGTAAATTAGGTCAATTTATTTGACTACAAACGTAATGTATTTATTTGGTTCTCAAAATTATTTAGATCTATTGCTCTATTACTTATGTTTACATATCAATTGATTTTAACTGAGACGCAATAATCAATTTTATTTGTATTTTAGCTTCTACAAATACAAATTTATTAAACAATATGAAAACGTTTACAATAAATTATACATAACTTGAGTTAGTGGCATCATTTGCGATACACAAAATATACATTTGCGTACTTAAATTCTGCATTATAAATTTTTAGTTCCTAAAATGATTAATAAGTCCCCACAACCACTCCCTATAAATGAATATAGTGATATAAATGCTACCAAAAATATACCTGACACCTATGTTTTTAGCAATAATCGTTAAAAATTCGAAAACCTATTCTTTATTTCAAAGAGAAGATAACAACATATACTAAAAAAATAAAGAAATCAATCCAACAGAAAATATTTTATCGGTGCTTTAATTAAATCTTTTAACTTTCTTTGTGTTCTCGATTCCCGTGAATAATGAAAATGAAATTTTTTTCACACGCCTCAGTTTAGTAATATCTGGTTATACTACAATAACAAAATATAAAAACCAGACATTTTTAAAACATTTAACGATTTTATTTAAAATATATATCTCTTAAAAACTTTTTTTCTACCTTACTTGTAGTAGAAATTTTATTTATGTATTATTTCTTAAAACAACGCCTACATCCGAAATATTTTAATCAAAACAATTTTTTATTTCGTCAATTATTAAAAAGTTTAATATTTACTTAATTACAAATTGATAAATCATAACCTAACAAAACTTAATAAAGTTCTTATACACATTGCAATAACAAATCTTGAGGTTAATCTATAAAACCAGCAAATGTACGACTACAGATATCATTACAAAAGATTTCCAATTTCACTAAAGGAATATTAAATCTACAAAACAAAAACAAAATATTCTTATCATTTAATTGAAGGAAAATTATACCGCTATAATTTGTCCTTAAAACTAATCTACAAAAAAGCTACTTTGAAATTTCCAAAAAAATTAATTATGTTTCATGAAATAAAAAAAAATATTAATAATACATTTTGATTGTAGTTCAAGCTTGTAAAATACAATGAAAAATTTATTATATTTTAATTAGATTAAAATTTGTAAAATGTATTATTTTTTTTAATTTTAATTTAAAATGCAGAAATAAGTATGAAGTTAATTATATAGGATTATAATTTTTAACTATTCTATATTAAAAATATAATTATCCCAATTACCACGTTCGCGTTCAAACAATCTGGTACGCCTATGAAGTACAGTTAAAACATTTGTTGGGTTTGGATGAAACTGCTGGCCATTAAACATTGAAATAATAGTATTGGAAAAATGTTATTTAGCTTGAACATTACTAAAAAATTTTGAAAAATTATGAACTTCGATATGTTACAAATTATAACTTACAATGCATTTATTACTTTTGCTCATCATCTCCATAATTTTTAATTGAATCTATAACACAACATTGATGTTTTGAATGTGTTGAAACTTTCGTAGATTGTCGTATTGCTTAAAATTGTACGGATGTATCCACGTTTACAGCAATGAAGTGCGTTTCGGACTCGTTGCAGAGTCCCTCTTCAGAGCGATAGTCACAGGCTCGTAGTTACAACTAAACTGTCGGTTTAGCTTGTTTACGGTATGTTTTTATATCAGTTGATAACTGATAATATCAATGTTGTTTGTTGTTTACATCCGGTTTTTGTTTTTGTGTGATAAAACTACAATTAAAATTACAGAAAAATGGCAGTACAGAAAAGGAAGAACTAAATAACAAATAACAACAACAAAATCAAAAACCGGAAGTAAACAACAGGACAAAATCAACAACAGATAAACAACTATGATGTTATCAGTTATGAACTAATATATAAAAATATACCGTAAACAAGCTAAAGCCACAGTATAGTTACAACCACAGACCTATGACTATTGCACTAAAGATGGACTCTGTAACTAGTTCGTAATGTTAGCTCAGTACTGAAAACGTGGATACATTCGTAAACATTTCAAGCAACGTTCAAGTTTTGGTTAAAGTAAGAACCAAATTATTGGCGCCATAAAAAAATGTATTATTTCATATGACTAAAATATGAATTCTTGAGATCTTGATGATTACTATTTTTAAGTTTACTTCAACGAAAACTATTTGAATAATAACCATACTGATAATAAAAGATAATGAAAACAAGTGGCTCTTAAAATTAAAATTTTAATTTTTTTGAAAAATGTGAAGATACACTTTTTTAATTTAAATAATAACTTATTTATCGACTTAAAAATATACTTCAAACAAATCAAGTCTGAATGAAATTTCAGCAGATCTAGGAGAAACTTTTAATATAGACATTTTACTAAATTAAATAGCATGAGATTTATTTTTTTTTCAAGAAAAACAATAATTGAAGTTTTATATTATTATAACTTAATTATAATTAGATAATAATAAATAGTTAATTAAGGAGTAATTAAATCGATAGACCCTTAATATATTAGTACCATGATCCTAGAGAGAAGTG